TATATATATATATATATATATATATATATATATATATATATATATATATATATATATATATATATATATATATATATATATATATATATATGTGTATATATGACGATGTATATGAGTAAATTATGATGAATGTGGTGAGAATGCGAAATATGTATACTTTTATGTCTATATTTATATATACATGATTATATGCATTGTTATTATAATAATATTTATCACCCTTCTGCTGTTTTATAATGCTCTATGAGGCATTGCATATTAGGTTTGCTGGAGGTCTTTTTGTGAAGTATAGCTTTATTCTTTTGTCGGTCAGCTCTGATATGTAGCACCGGGTTGTTAGGATTGTATAGCATCCTTTTGTGATACATTTGTAAATGTATCAGCTGATAATGTTTTGGAAAACATGAATGATATGGTGAACCAAACTGAATTATGTATTTATATGATAACATGTTTTAAGTGATTCAAATGTTTTAATCTTCCGCTTTAATTTTAAATATTGAGACATGGGCGTAAGGACGAAGTTCCTATGTTGTAGCTACCCCATTGTTACATATCTTTATTTGAGCAGGTGTTGCATGTTGTATTTTCATGTATGTGTGACATGCCCTTTTTTTTTTACCATGTTTTAAATTTACTCTGACGAAATTTCAATAAGTGATTAAGTGATTTATTTGTTTATTTGGGGGTATAGAAAGGGGGTGTTACACTGTTGCGTCGCATTTGTTGAGTTACATTGTTGAGTTGCTGAATTGTTAATGCTAATTGTCATGGATCTTGAATACCGAATTATTGTGGTCTATTATGGATAATATTTTGCGATCTGTTGGAAGAATAATGCTGTGATAATATTCTGACATGACTTTTATCATGCCTTATGTTATATTGTCGATATCTCACCCTTTATGTTGTATGTTACCTCCGTTGGTGGTAACTTGCAGGTAACCCGGATTAAAGTGTAGCTTTCCGTTTAAAGTTGTTGGTCGCTCTGATACGTAGCACTCTTGGGGGGATGAACGATTGATGTTATTGCTTTTATTTAATTTCCTTATTGCTGAATTTTATCGAGTACTTTCCATTAAATTGGTGGCTGCTGTTAAGTGCCAAATGTTGGTTGGATGCACTATACCGATGAATTAGTAGTGCTGATTTTTATGGTTGAAACTCGTTGTTTATGTTGAATTGATGCAAGACAATTACTTGCCGAATTTTAATGGAGTTTTGTTGCAAGTTTCATGGTCTTGCTTTAATCATTCTAAATGTTGGAAATGTTTTATATTCCGCTGCAAATTAATAAGATGCCTTGTAATCGAGATGTTAGGCAAGCTGTTGTTTGTTCATCCAGGATTCTGTGCTATGTATATTTACTAAATGCATGCTGTCTGATCAAATTGTAAAATGTATGTTCTCTGTAAGTTGAAAATGTGACGCCCAGATTTAGGTGAGTGTGACGACCGTCACCGTTCATTACGATCATCATGCATCCAATTTTAGTGCACTCTGATTGTACTTTGTTGTTTATCTGTTGGGTTAGAAATGGGGTGTTACACATGGAGCCTCCAGAACCTGCTTGCTCCGCTCCTGCCAAACGGATGCGTGCTGAGAAACCCTACCATGTCTCAGCTTGTCATCTCTGTCATCCATTATGCCTATAAGGTAAAGTAAGGTATATCATTAGTGCAAGCAAACAACACACGCAAACAAATTTTTTAAAAAAAAATCATACTGCAGAAAATTTCGGAGATGCATCTTTGGAAACACCATAAAACTATAACGTTGAACAATTCCGGAGATGCATCTCCAGAAACACCATAAAACTATAGTGTTGAACAATTCCAGAGATGTCTCTGAAACTTTCCTAAGTATATGAAACACTAAACAGTTCTGGAGATGCGTCTCCGAAATGTTCTACAACACAGAGGGCGCGTCAATGACGAACGTATCTCATTCAAGTTGAAGAAAACATGATCTGGTCGCCATTTTTAGTCAACAAACAAGTTATATACTATGTATAAACTATGTTACATGTGATTTTTACACATTTCTAACCATAATAATTGATTCCTACTCGTTTACACTAAAACTCGAATATTTACCGCAAAGTCGATAAACTTACTTGAAATTGATGATGCATATGTTGTTTCCAATATTATAGATGATCTTTGATGTTCCTTTGAGTTTCTTTGACCCTCGTTTGATGAAATTTGATTTGGTGTAGGGGTTGTATTAAGAAAAAGATTGTGTTGAGTTTGAGGAAGGAGAAGAGTCTAGCGCGATTTATACTCCAAAATATTCCGGAAATATATCTCAGAAATATTTCAACGTTCACTTACCTTTAGGTGCGTGTGGAAATATATCTTCGAAAATAAGAGACATTTATAAAATATTATATGGTGCATTAGAAATATAAAGGATACCATAAAAAATTCTCTAAATTTTTATTTCAAAGTATTTAAATAAACTTATTAAATAATACGTGAAAAGAGTCCATAACATATTAAAAATATTGTTGTGTGCATTTGTGTATAAACCATGCATTATACTACAAGATAATAATTTAAGAAAAATCGCATAAGAATTTATATTGATTTATAAAAATTAACTACACAAAGCTCCATATTTTGAGATTTCTTATTAATGATTAATATTGGGTATGTTTGTTTTGACTTTTTTTTTAAATGATTTTTATATTATTATATATTTTGGTATAAAAAAATTTTATAAATTTTTTTTTATAAAAAATTTAAATTAAAATTTGATTTGAATAGTTATTTTTAAAATATTATTTTAAATATTTTATTATTTTATCTAAACTTTTTATCAAAATTATTTATAAAAGCTTCAAAATATTTCATTATTGTAGAATCTATTTTTAAAAATATAAAAAAAATTATTTTTTTAAAGTTAAAATAAACTGACCTTTTAGTCTTCGAAAACGGAATGCTAAGTTAAATAAATTCAACAAGCTTATTCTATCACATAAATTAAGCAAGCTTATTCTATCACATAAATTGATCAAACTTGAGAATATACAAGCTTATTCTATCACATAAATTAAAATAAATTCAACAAGTTTATTCTATCACATAAATTGATCTAACTTGAGAATATACAAGATTTTTTATGATATCTTTTATGATAGTTAGATTTACAACTTCTCACAATATGTAACTATTGAGATGTTTAATTTTAAATTACTCTTAAGAAAAATTGATCCTCAATATTAAATTTGAGTCATTTGAATGGTTTGAATGTGAGCCGCTGTTTTTTTCTCTTTATATTTTCTCTTTCAAAATGTGTAAAAATTATACAAGTGTCAAAATTTTAAATATGGTTACAACTTGTTAGTCTTTTTTTAGCATAATCTTACTTAAAACAAATATTTAAAATTAATATGAAAATTTTAAATACAAGATGTCGAATAAAGTTTAGACGCATCAATTGCATAAGTTAAAGAATAAAAACAAATAAAATTCAACTATATTTTATTAAAAAAAAAAATTTTAGTTACAAAGCTAAACTAAAGAAAAAAATATACCATCTATAATCTTAAAAATATAAAAATCTTACAAAGTGCTCTCCAAGAGTTCTTCAACGGTTTGTGTGAAAAAAAGGCAAAATCGGTTCCACTTCTTAAAACCTCTCTTTCTCTTCCATCCAAAAAGAGCCTCTCTCTCATTTCATTTCGAAATCTTCCAAATTCACCAAAACCCCATTCTCATTTCCTTGAAGAAGAAAAAAAGTGATTTCCAGAAGCAATTCATCAATTCCTTTTTTATTATTCAATCTTTGATAAAAAGTGGTAAATTCCTCATCTTTTCTTCTTTCGGTTCCTCTTCTGTTTATGAGCAAATTAACAAACAAAAACTGTAACAGAAATGTTCTAATTCTGTTTATGTGTTTTTCACATTCTTTCCAACATTGATGATAATTGGTGTTGTTTGTGTTTAGGTTCTTGTTTTTCATGTTCAATTTTGTTTACATTGTTTTAAAACATGTGGATTGCTATGCATTCTTTTGATTTTTCAATTTTGAAGTGTTATGGGTTTTGTTCTTGCGTAATGAACAAATTCAGAAAAAGAAGGAAACTTTGAGATCAATCATCAATGTGTGACATAAACACCTAGGCACAACAAACCTACACGCATACACACCATTAATAATTTGAAAAATGAAAGTGTTTGAATGTAATCACATGTGCTTGGCATCGTGTTGTTGTCAGACACCGATACATGTTGAACATCAAACAATGTTTTCAATATGAAGCGTGGGTGCTACGTATGTTTTGAATGGATTCCTTTTGCTAGTGTTGGATTGTTTAGTAAAGGGAAGAGATGGTGAGATGAGACTAATCGCGACCTTTTGAGACATTGTGGAGCCTTAATAAAATATGTGTATGTTGTTATTAAAACTGATTTTTACTCAATAGTATGTTTTTTTTTACTTTACAACCATTTTATTTGATTACTCATTTTACATTGGAAGTAGATTCAATTCCTTGGTCATGGTGTTTTGTTTGAATTGTTAATTAATTGTTTTAAATTTGTTGCAAATATTACTATATTTGAGATACATCAATTTCTAGTCCTAGTGTAGTTAAGATCGAGTGTTGGACCGTAAGTTCCTAAGGTCTTACGTAAGGATGCATGAGAGTGCTACGTTTTGTCGCCGGTGTGGTCAAGATCAAGCTTTTTGAAGCAAGGTTGTAAAAAAAACGAGTTTGGTTTTTTGTGTGCCTGAATTATAAATTTCATGGTTTTGTGTATGTGTGTGTGTGTGTGTGTGTGTGTGTGTATATATATATATGAAATTACCATTTTTCCCTTCGGTTGGATCTTACGTGCCGTGCTAACGATCTGAGTTTTATGATCTTTCACATGCCGGCCGATCCTACTTAAGATCTCATGCTGACTACATTGACTAGTCCCTTTCTTTGATTGTTTTCTTTTTGGGCGAATGTTCTAAGAGAATTTCCTTTTAGTTGATAGAGGTGCATCAAAATGTATCAACTTCACAAGGATCGTCTTCTTCCGCAAGCTGAAACAACATGTGGATCACTTCTTCAAGAACTTCAGGTACAAATAAACTCCACAGGCCAATTAATGAATATGTGATAAAATAAGTAACTCTTACTATTTGTCTTGGTTTGTTTTTCAAAACTAGATAATATGGCACGAAGTTGGAGAGTCTGAGTCTGAAAAAGATAGGATGTTGTTTGAGCTTGAACAAGAGTGTCTAGAAGTATACAGAAAAAACATAGATAAAGCTAACTGCTCTAGAGCTCAACTAAGGCAGGAAATTGCTGATTCTGAGGCAGAACTTACAGCAATCTGTTCAGCAATGGGAGAACGACCAGTACATAATAGACAGGTCAGATATTTCACGTGTTTCCAATTTTCTGATGGCTATTTAATGCATGTACATATACTGCTGGATGGAGAAAACCGTTTAAGTTAAATAAAATAATGTTTAAATTCATATTTGTGACATAATTTGGAATGATTATATAAAATTTCTAGATAAGAGCTTATACACAAATTTGCATCTAAAATATTTTATATTTTCCGTGATTAGTATGTACCTAATGAAAATGTTGAATAGAGAGAAATATTATTATTGTAAAAAAATTGTGATGTTTTTGTTTTTGTCAATTCAAAATTATCTGTTATCTAGTTGGTGTATTAAGAAAAAAATTGGTTATTTAATGTCTGTGATATTATAGTCGGATCATAAGGCTAGAAGTTTGAAGGAAGAGCTAGCAATGATTCTACCTGAGCTGGAAGAAATGAAAAAGAGAAAGCTTGAGCGTAGAAATCAATTCATACAAGTCTATGAGCAGATTCAAAGTGTCTCAAATGAGATTTATGGTCCAAGAGAAATCATCCCATTCATCCTAGATGAAACAGATTTATCGTTGAGGAAACTTGAAGAATTGCACAGACAACTTCATACACTTCAAAAAGAGAAGGTTAATGATTTATAGTTATACGAACGTAAACATTTATATATGGTTTATGAACCCAAATTGTCATATTTAATTCTAAATATTACTTAATGCTAATATTTTATTTTTAAAGCAGAGTGATCGTCTCTGGTTTATGAAACCAAATTATCATATTTAATTCTAAATATTACTTAATGCTAGTATTTTATTTTTAACGCAGAGTGATCGTCTCCAGAAGATCCAAGACAACCTGTACACTTTAACGTCTCTATGTTCAGTACTTGGTTTAGACTTTAAGCAGACAGTCAGCGAAGTCCATCCTAGTTTAGGAAATTCAGAAGTACCTAAGAGTGTAAATAATGATACCATCAGCCGATTGGCTTTAGCCACGCAAGAACTCCGAGGACTGAAATTGCACAGAATGCAAAAAGTATGAAACATAACTTTGTTTATAATTTCTTTTCATGCCTTTTCCTCTGATCGAAACTCATAATTGCCTACGGTATGGCAGCTTCAAGACCTAGCAACATCAATGTTGGAGCTCTGGCATTTGATGGATACACCTATTGAAGAGCAACAGGTGTTTCAGAATGTTACTTGTAACATTGCAGCTTCAGAAGATGAAGTTACTGAATCTAACAGCTTGTCCGAGGACTTTATTAATCATGTGAGTTGTAAGCTATTGGAGAAAAGGAGTAGTTTTCTTTGTTTTTATGGCTCAAAATTCCTGGAGAAGTAATGACTACATGCAGGTGGAGGCAGAAGTATCTAGATTAGAGGACTTAAAATCAAGCAAAATGAAAGAGCTTGTTTTCAAGAAAAGAGCCGAGCTAGAGGAGATTTGTAGAAAGACTCATTTGGTTCCTGAATTTGATGGTGCGGTCGAACATGCTATTGAAGCAATAGAGTCTGGTAAGTTCTAAGAAAGATATCATACCACTAGATTAGTGTCATTATTTAGTTCTTCTTTAAACTCCTAAGCCTGCATCCTTGTACTTGAACAAATTGAACAAATTAAACTCATGCAGGATCTGTAGACCTTGCTGATGTACTTGAACAAATTGAACTTCAAATTGCCCAAGTCAAAGAGCAAGCTTTTAGTAGAATAGAGATACTTGAAAAGGTGGAGAAATGGGTGTCAGCATGTGATGAAGAGTCTTGGCTTGAGGAGTACAGCAGGGTTAGTTTTTTATCTTCTTATGTATATTCGTTTCTATAGCTTACATTAGATTGAATGATGTTTTTTAACGGTTGGATTGGCGGTGAAGTTTAATGTTTACATTATTGAAAGTGGATCTCCACTCCCATATTTATCATCTCATAGTTTATTAAGCTTTTCCACACACTTTCTTCTAGGATGAAAATCGATACAATGCTGGTAAAGGTACTCATCTTAATCTCAAACGAGCTGAGAAAGCACGTGTCTTGGTGAACAAAATTCCAGGTACTTTAAGACCTATAATCCTTGTATTTGTTGTCTTGGTTAATGTCATTATGGCTTAATAACACAACTTTGCTTTTCTATGTCCCATTTTCATTATGTATTATTATGTTTGCAGATATTATGTTTCTTTATTATTTCAAAACGTCTTTTGATTTTCTTTTGTTTTTCCATAGCAATGACAGACACATTGACTTCAAAAACAGTAGCATGGGAAAAAGATAAAGGCACTGAGTTCATCTATGATGGTGTAAGTACCCTCTAAGAGATACATGCCATGAGATAGGCTCATAAGAAATTATCGGATGCTACCTTAGCATCTATTGGTTGCTCAAGTAACAAATTTTGCCGTGTGTGGTTATCTAGGTCCATCTAACTTCTATGCTTCAAGACTACATCTCATTACGGCAAGAGAAGGAGCAAGAACGCCGTAGACAGCGGGTAGGAAATACTGATTGCAATTAAATGTTTCTCCAAAATAAGTTAATTAGTAATCTAGTTATTATAACATAACCTTGAAAAGGGACCCTTAGCGCAATACTCTGAAAAGGGAGTAAGCACAGACACCGAAAATACATCACCGACACTGACACGTTGACACCCGTAATAATTTGGAAAAATGAGTAAATTAAACGTAATCACAAGTGTCGGTATCAATTTGGACATCGATACTGCCACGGACACCTTCTTTCAGAAGTGTCAGTGCTACATTAAGGGACCCTTGCCTATGATAAATTCACATACACTTCCTAGATGCTTAATAGCACCCCTAGTGCCTTATAGTTAAAACAAAACCTTGAGTTTTGTCTTAAAGTATTAGTCTAGGCAGTATTTCATTGATCTGCTATTCCTAAACATAACGATGTGTATTTTTTTCTCCTGACACCTTTTAAAATTTTACATTTCTGTTTTCAGGACCTGAAGAAACTTCAGGGACACATAATAGCAGAACAGGAAGTATTGTATGGGTCAAAAAGCCCTTCAAAGGTTCTTAGTGCAAGAAAAGCACCTAGGACGCCAAATGGAAGTGCAGCTAGTAGAAGAGTTACCTTTGGAGGATCAATGCTAAAACCCGATTCAAAACTTACTCGCTCAAGCTCCACAAAGAAGACGGACAGAGCGCACCAAATTGAGCAAATAAATGACCTAGATGATGGCATGTCAGGTTTATCATCAGGTAGTTTTTTTTAGACTTCACCCGTTTTTGTTTTTGGTTTTTATTTTCATCCCTGGCTTGGAGATTTCTCACTTGGTAAGGATTTAACTGTTGTTTATCTTGTTTGGTTGAAAGGAAAGAACAAAGATCAGGAAAATCTCTTAATAATTATTTGCTTTTAGTTTTGGCTCAATTGATAAGGTGGTTGTTTTGGATGTGGTAGACTGGTAGGTTATCTAGGCGCAGATCCTGCTAAGATAAATGTAATTGTATTTTTTCTTTTCTTCTGTAGTATTTTTCCCATCTCTCTTTCTTTTATCCCTTTGAGGATAAGAGCTATTTCATTATTGTCAGAAACAATGTAGTCAAGATCGAGTGCTGGATCGTAAGATCTTACGTGAGAGTACTATGATCAGAGAAAGATCATTTTCGTTGCCGGCATGTTCAAGATCGAGCTTTTCGAATTGAAGCGAGATCGTTAAAAAAGGTATGAAATTACCATTTTCCCTTCGGTAGGATTTTTGGTGTCATGCTAACGACGATCTTTCACAAGCCGGCTGATCCTACTTAAGATCTTGTCCTTGACTACATTGGTCAGATGCCACCAATAGCATAGCATATTCATTTTGCAATATTTCTTCTTAAACCAATGACATAAGATGCCTGCAGTTATTTATCAAATTAAAATCTAACGACAACCTCTAACTGTTGAATACATGTCTATGATTTCCTTGGATTTAGAACATGATTCTCCTGCAGTTATGTTTCAACTTGTGTCATTTAAAATACAACCTTAGATTGTTGGATACCTGTTTATATTTTCCTTTGTTTTAGAAGAAGGTTCTCCACCGGATTCCCCCAAGTACTCTTGATGATGGTTTTATTGTAAGGCTGTATGTGGCACCACAGAACGGTTTAGACTTTTTTTTTGGTTTGATGTTGGAGGTGGAGGTCAAAGCCACATCTCAGCTGATAGATTTCCCCGTAATTTCTTGCTGGTATATCTAGCATTTTCTTATGTTTGTGTTTTACATAATTTGCACAAACATCACATATGATTAATATTCATTTCTACTAACAACTTTCATGTACCATATTTGCATGCATTTAAATCTCTTACAAGTGTTTGTTTCCTTGTATTCATACAGCTAGAAGATACACATTTGGTACTGGAATTATTCGGGATATCGAATCTCCTTTGTCACGACAACCCTTTACAACCATCTCTTCGACAGTATCATCACAAGAAAATGTGGAAAATGCCACAGTTGAATTAAATATGCAGAAGCTGAAGTTGCAGAAGACAGTAGCAGTTAACAATTTGCCATTCACTACTACCTCGAAGACAGACACATTGGTAGATGAAGAGAGTAGAACTCCAAAGGCAATGCCTACACCAACGAGTGTGCCAATTCCTATGAATATGGCCATGACTCCAGCATCTTTTGGAGGTGAATTGGTTCAAGAAATAGAATATTCTTTTGAGGAAAAAAGGCTTGGCTTTGTATTAGCATGACATTTTGATTTGGTTTTCTGTTATAGTGACGGTAAGCACGAGGCAATTGTAAATGACTTCCAGATTGTGTATATACATAGTCTATCAGATTAGAAGTGGACTTGGATTAGAGTGTTTGAAGAGCTTTTTGGTTTTTGTTGGCATCATGTTAGGGTTTAACAATCTTCTAATCTCATGTGGTGTTGCATATCTCTGACTCTCTTCACAACTTGTTTTCAATCTCATTCTCTTTACCATCTTAGTGAAACAAAAAAAAATCACTTTTTCAAATCTCAGTTGTGTTATTCTTCTCACACTAAGTTCAATCATTCTTTGCATTGAATTCCAGTAGTGAGAAACCAAAAGGGCTAACAAAACAAACTTTTCTTTTTCACCATTAATGCAGGGTTGTTATTTGCACTTTAAGATTTATAAAAAGTTTTATTGTTATGAAATAGTGATGGATATGCAGCTTATAATGGGAGATTTTGTCCAAGCATCCTCTGAATTTTATTGTTATGAAATACCTCTCTCATTTACTTTTATTAGAAGTGCAAAAAAATTTCAGTAGATCAATAAAAAATCTGATATGCAATTAAAAGATTCGCTAGACCAATTAAAATATTTGGTATGCATTTTTATTGTTTTTTTCAAAAACATTTGTGTTAAAATTTATCCATTTTTTTCAAAAACATCATAGATTACTGGACTTTTTCCGTAACTTTGTAAAACGGCTGTGTTAATTTATTAGTTTTATTCTTTCAAAAAAAAGCTTATGAGATTATCGGATTTTTTCCATAACCTTAAAATTTTTGATAGTGTTAATTGTCAACGATTGTGATTTTGTTGACACTTTTGTAGGGTTGTAATTGCGTCGGCAATTTTGTGTGGTTCATAATGATTTTAAAGTTGTATAAATATGCATCATATGTTAAAATAAATCTTAGAATGTTTCAATATTACCATCTGCGTTTGTGTACTTCAACAATGTGAAATCTCCGACAGATTTTAGGTTCATAGAGGACACTCCGCTTGATGTTTTGAAATTCAAACTGAATAATATTTTGCATCATACATGTAACAACTATATTTTCAATAATTGATTAATTGTACTAATTAATTGGTTTATTTGGTTTATTTGATTTAAATAAATTATTGGATTTAACTGATTTATTCTATTTGGTAGAATAACGTGAGTTTACTAGATATTCTCTAATTAGGATGAGATGAGATATTTTATGAGAAAATGAATTGGTAAATATTTTGAGAGAAGAAATATATTGGAGAGAAATAGAAGGGAAAGATATATAAGGAAAAGTGGAAGGAAAAGGAAAGAATAGAAAACATAAGAGAAAGAGAAGAGAAAGAAAGAGGAAGAAGAGAAAAGAGAAGGAAAAAGAGGGGAAAGCTTGGAAAGCTCAAGAACAACTCTTAGATTCGATTTAATCAAGGTAAGAGTGTGAAATATTGTTATTCAATCAATGTTTATGATTATGTATGTGTTTGTTGGTTTGATTGAGATTGTTGGAGAGTTTCTACCATTTTTCCATTCTAGGGCATAAATGAGTTTAATCGGTAGAATCGAAGTTTTAACAGTTAGAATCAAAAATAAATTTCGTAGTTTAGTCGGGTAATGCTTAGTCGTGATTATTGGACTTCGTTTGATTGAATTTGGTTGAGTTTGTGAGTTTTAACATTTTTGGACAATTGGGGGTTAAGATTTTGGATGAAAATCGGATGAAAATCGGAAGTCGTAGAATTTGCGTTTTATGATCCTAAAATGTTACTATATGATTGGTAATGATGAGTAGGTATTTAATCGGGAGAAAAGAATTAAATCGGTCGGATTTTCGGGCGAAAATGCAAAATCCCGTAGCCGTGTTTAGGCAAAATTCTGGTTTTTCGGAAAACTTCGAAAATTCATATCTCTTGATCCGTAAGTCGGTTTTAGTCCCCGTTCAAAGCGTTGGAAAGATAAAGAGGTGTCCTTTCTAGAAAAAATGGTTTTGATGTCAGTATGTGATCCAATTATAGCAGAATATTCAAAACTTGTCATTTTGTCAACTTTTACCGTCGTGAACGGGTGCGTTTGATGTGTTATCATACTGTATGCTTTCGATATATAACGTGTAGCTTGTGTGTTGTTATATATTATGATGTGGGAAGCCGTAAGGCGTAAATCCTAGATTGTGGGATTCGATTGTGAAATGTGGCCTTTTGGCAAATATATTGCATTGTTTAAATTGATTAAAAATGCGTGATGAATGTGATTGAGTTCGTTGTCGTTGGCGCGATATTGTGAATGCATATTGTTTGTATGCGATTGTATGAGAAGAATGCATGAGAACATATTGTGAATATGTGTGCATTGCTTGATAAATGTGGCGATGGTATTAATTGTGAATGTATATTGTTTGTATGTGATTGTATGAGAAGAATGCATGAGAACATATTGTGAATATGTGTGCATTGCTTGATAAATATGGCGATGGTATTAATTGTGAATGCATATTGTTTGTATGCGATTGTATGAGAAGAATGCATGAGAATATATTGTGAATATGTGTGCATTGCTTGATAAATGTGGTGATAGTATTAATTGTGAATGCATATTGTTTGTATGCGATTGTATGAGAAGAATGCATGAGAACATATTGTGAATATGTGTGCATTGCTTGATAAATGTGGTGATGGTATTAATTGTGAATGCATATTGTTTGTATGCGATTGTATGAGAAGAATGCATGAGAACATATTGTGAATATGTGTGTATTGCTTGATAAATATGGTGATGGTATTAATTGTGAACGCATATTGTTTGTATGTGATTGTATGTGAAGAATGCATGAGAATATATTGTGGATATATGTGCATTGTTTGGTAAAGGTGATGATGATGTTGAAAATATGTGTATGTGTAAGGTCGTACTCACTGGGGTAGAATGATAAGATATCGTTCCTAGTGGAGTAATCACTGGGGTAGAATGACTATGTATCGTTCCTAGTGAAATGATCATCGGGGTAGAATAACAAATGTTGTTCCTTGTGAGGTATAGTGACATGGTCGTATACACTTGGGTAGAATGACTAAGATATCGTTCCTAGTGGAATAATCACCGGGGTAGAATAACTGAGATGTTATTCCTGGTGAGGTGCTCCCTGGGGTAGAATAACTGAGACGTTGTTCCTAGTGGAGTATACGTGATACAGTCGTACGCGCTGGGGTAGAATGACTATAATGTTGTTCTTAGTGTTGGTGTTCACTGGGGTAGAATGACTATGATGTTGTTCCTAGTGGAGTATAAGTGATGTACCCATGATTTTGAATATGAATTATTGAGTTGCATTGAGTTGTATTGAATCACATGACATAGAGATAAATGTTGTGTGAACATATGCAATTGTGTATAACTTGTGGAATTGAGAGTTGTAAATAAACATGATTGTATATGTTTATATGAATTGTGGTGAATTAATATAATGTGTATGTTTATGTGGATTGATTGAAACTATGGATGTGTGCATGATGAATATGCTTGGTGATTATCCATATTTGTTTATATATATATATATATATATATATATATATATATATATATATATATATATATATATATATATATATATATATATATATATATATATATATATATATATATATATATATATATATATATATATATATATATATATATATATATTGTGATGTATATGATGAGTTATGATAAATTGTGGTGAGAAATGTGGAATAAGTGTTTTCTATGCTTGTGTGTGTGTGTGTGTGTGTGTGTGTGTGTGTGTGTGTGTGTGTGTGTGTGTGTGTGTGTGTGTGTGTGTGTGTGTGTGTGTGTGTCTATATATATATATATATATATATATATATATATATATATATATATATATATATATATATATATATATATATATATATATATATATATATATATATATATATATATATATGATTATATGCATTATTATTATGATAATATTTGTCACCCTTCTGCTGGATTGATGTCCTATCTGGCATCGTGCAGGTATCAAGAGTAGAGCTGCTTGTAGTTGCGAAGTCGCTATTGGGGTAGCTGTTTAGTAATTTAATCATGTTTGGTCGAGTCATGCTCTGGTCATGTAACACTGGGATCGTTTGGTGTATATTTTAGAGATACATTATGTATTCTATGTTATGTTTTTATATTCATTGGAATATTGTGATGTTGGCCTTAGTGCCTAAGAAATGTTGAAGTATGTGATGCATCTGATTATTCTGTTAAGAGAATTATGTTATAAAATGAATCCGCTGCTACATGCAAAGTGAAATTGTGAAAAGCATAATTATTTATTAAAGTGTTAATGAGTATGACAGGTGTTGTAATGTTTTGAAAGTGATGTGTGACGCCTTTTTGTAAATGCATGAGAATTTACTCTGATTATTCATATATTTTCCGTGGGGTTTAGAAGGGTGTTACATTAGTGGTATCAGAGCAGGTCGGTCCGTCCGACCAAGTTGTCTAATGTTGGTTGTTCCCCTGTACGCGACATGTGTGTGAAAACACTGTCGATACGCGTTTGTTTTTCTAACCTTTGTCTGCAGGAAGTGGGAATGATTCAAGTGGGGGAGAAACTTGTGCTTCTCCAGGATGCTGCAAGTGTGGAGTTGTAGCCCAGTGTGTGGTTGAACGCTCTTATAGTTGGGATTGTGTTGGATGGGATAAACCTGTCTTGCAAGCTTAGATGGCGGGATGCAGTGAATTTTCTCGAGTTAAGCTAAGTGCTTCAGAATTATTGTGTTTTATGATGCTTTGTTGATATGATTGAGAGGTATGTTAAGTGCAACATCAGCGAGTTTTAGTTATGTTGTAAGGCAAGTTAAAGTACATAAAAGGGAATTATCTGACAAGTGATTTAGAATTGGTTGTTGTGTGTCTGTGCCGGAGTTTGGAGGCCTCAATTGGCTAGTGTGAGAGTTGAGATGGTTGGTGATCTTACGAGCTTAAGGTATTTGTTTGATTTGAAAGAGTT